GTTTTGAATTGGCGTGAAGTGAGCGGAAATATCGGGGTAATAGTCCTGTTGTGATGAGCGACATATGGATTATGATTAACATTATGGATAAAAGTACTCGCAATGGATTCATAAACAATAAGTTTGGGTTTGTGTCCACTTTTTCATTAGAGTTGACGTATAATTGGCGCCAATTGTCCGCTAATGAGAGACATTTGAGAGGACTTTTGTGCCCAATTAATCCCAATTCATTGACCATTGAAACACATAATACAATCGTTAACCACAAGTATAAGCATATTTCAAATGTGTTTACAATGGCTTCAATTGGAAATGACATTTCTTAATCTTTTTTATTAGAACTATTTTTAATATTTAAATAAAATACAAGTTTATAAACAGAAAAATTTGAAAATATTAATTTAATTAAATATTAGTAATGTGTTTGCAAGCTTATATAAGAATAAATACTACAATTATTTATTATTGAAAACTTTGTAGCTTATTTTAAATTAAAATTATAAAAATAACATTTCTATTGAAATATTAATTTATTTGTAGAAATAGGAAATTATTTTAATAAATACAATAATTTGACGCTAAAAGTGATAAAAATTTTACAATTAATTGAACAAAACAATCATGTAATCAATACATGCGTTTATACATACATTATTAACTTTATACATTATACATTATACATACATTATGTATTAACTTTCTAGTAATTGTTTTAAAATGATAAAAATTGCATGTATCAAAATTTTCCACTCCTATAGAAATTAACATAGGATCCAAACTTATGTTATAAACGTATCCCAAACCTATACTCCAAACGGGGTTAATTTGTATCGTATGGTTAAGTTTATGAACAATATTGTTAATTCATAAATAATCTGGAATTGCTATTATTAATAATGTATAGAATTGTCATTTCTATTAATTTTAGAATAGATATATCCATAACCTATTCCTGGTCTTCATTTTATAAACCCATCCTATTTTCAAACAAATGAATGCACTTAACTGTAAGCATGTAAGATAAGCATGATTATAAATTTTTAATCAATAGTTTAACAATTAAAACATATTAAAAATTTAAGTTAACTTTATTAACAAGACTCAACATTTTTATAACAAACTTATTACTGTATCTGTGAAAATATTTGTAAAATAACGTAATTTATGCCTTCATTTCCAATTGAAAACACTTTTCAAACGTAAACAAAACTAAACTTTTAAATCGTTTTATTAATTGTTTTCATAATTAAATGATTGACTCATTTATAAGAAATTGTGAATTCATTCATTGAAAACATGCCATAAGTTTGAACTTATAGTGAAGTGAATCATAAAATTGATTGAAACCCAAAACAACACGTGTTTTGAGAGACATGTCATTCAAAAGTATGTTCTTTCGCCGCAAACAAGTCATTGATATCTCGATGAATGTCTTCGCGACCACTAATGCATGTATATCTCTATCCCTCTCAGGACCCGAAGCCGTGGGCAAGTTTGCAGACCTGTCTGCCGACCGATCGGAAGAGTTGGCCACCACTGAGGGTACGATCGGTGGCTCTTCTTTGGTGTACAACCGGCGCTCCGATGCGTCCGTCTCTGACCGCTATCTGTCGGCCGACGACCAGAGATCACGACTGCCCGTCAATAAGGTATCACACGATCGGCCACTTCTGCCCAAAGACCACTTCAGTCATAATCATGTGTTTGTATTATGTTTTGTATTTCTTGGTATCAGTTTCGCGATCACATCGAGTACTTGCTGTCCAAACATCAGACGCTTGTGATTGTGGCGGAGACCGGATCGGGAAAGTCCACTCAATTACCGCAAATAGTGTCCAAACTGTGCCACCAGTGGACGGATGGCGAGACCGATAACAAGCAACCAATGGTAGCGGTGACTGAACCGCGTCGAGTGGCGGCCGTAACGCTGGCAGCTCGGGTGGCCGAAGAGATGGGCGTCCAATTGGGCCGCGAAGTTGGCTATTGTATCGGCTTTGAGGACTTTACTGCTGGTCCGGCCATCACTCGCGTTAAATTCTGCACCGAAGCCATACTCGTCAACGAACTCATGTCCGACCCGTTGCTTACGGCCTACGGGGCTGTCATTGTGGATGAGGCACACGAGCGGACACTTCATACGGATATACTGTTGGCACTGTTGAAGAAGATTAGCCGCAAACGACCGACACTACGGCTCATCATAGCCTCGGCCACCATTGACTGCGAACTAATGCGCCAATACTTTGACCACAACCCGAATCCAGCGG